AGGATCTGTTAGAGTCCGGCCAGTGCAGCAGCAGCGGCACCACCACCAGCCCTTCGCACAGCCCCTCTCCCAGCGGCGGTGGCAAGACCAGCACGACGGTCATCAAAGCCAAAAGCGCCGCCGCCACCCACTACGCGACTGACGGCTGGGACGGGATGCTCCACTGCTACTACCAGGCCTGCATGGACACCGACAAGCTTGACTCTCTCGGGGCGGCCCCCCTGCTGAACTTCCTCAGCAAGCAGCCCGAACTGGGGTTTCTGCTGCTGTGGCCGGGCGAGATCGAGGCGGACGAGGGCATGGTGAGAGGGAGAGAGGGGGAGGGGCAGGGGCTGAGTGTGCGGATGGCGCACCTTCATCGGTGGGGGGTGGAGGGGGTGCTGACAGCCGGGGTGACCTACAACAACCTCCACCCCTCGCACAACAACACCCTCGGCGTGGCGCAGGGCGGCCTGGGGCTCAGCTACTCCCACTACTTCCAGCCAGACATCCTTGCTGCCTACACGCGCCACCTCGCCACCCTCTTCCGACTCTTCTTCGAGGCCCTCCCCTCCGCCCACAATGCCTCCCTCCCCTCCCCCTTCTCTCTCCCGACACAGCAGCCGCCGGCCGCTTCTCTCATCGACACGACCAATGACACCTACGCCACCATCGACGAGAGGGTGCGTCGGGGGGAGGACAGCGCTTCGGAGGTCAACTACACGCGCGTAGCTGAGGGTGTGGTGGAGTTCGAGAGGCAGCTGCATGGGATCCATCTGTCGCCCGAGCAGCAGAGGGACCCCTGGAACACCACTTTCTCGAGCAACCTGTCAGCAATACAGGAGTGGATGCCCGTCTTCGATTGGAATGGTCAGCGAGGGACCATGAAACCTCCCCCCCCAGAGAGAGAGAGAGGGAGAGATCGATCTCTGTGTGTGTGTCTGTTTAGCGTATTACAAGGTGTTTGCGGACAAGGATGACCTCTCCCTGAGCGACGAGGAGCTCGCCGAGGCCTTTACGCCCGACGCCGAGGTGCTCATCCAGAGCCGCCCCCATCTCACCAAACTTAACGCCCTCCTCCATAAGTACCTCAGCGACAGACGCAAGAGGCCCACCCTGCACTACTACTTCCTCGCACGCACTCTGCGCGCGTATGCCATCCATTGGCTCAGCACACACAACACACGACGAGATGGAGAAACGGTGTTTGGTGTGTGTGTGTGCAGGTATGGCGGCTCGTTGTCGGCTGAGTGGCGGAAGGAGTTCCACTCGTTTCGGAAGATCCTGACGGGCTCCGACCCGCCCCCGAGATGGCGCACTTGCCTGTCCGCCACAGCAGACGCCGTCGGATGGGTGAGATAGAGATAGAGATGGAGAGAGAGAGAGAGAGAGAGAGACCGACGAGCGAGTACCATTGGGTGGTGGGTGTGGGGAGGGATTGTCAGATATTGAGTCGCAACTTCATCCGGCACCACTTCAATCCCCTGAGGAAGGTGAGAATGAGAATGAGTGTGTGTGTGTGTGCATCCAGTCCAAGGATGGGATGGATGGATGGACTCATTGTGCTGTTCGGGTGGCTGTACTGTGCAGACGCTCGCGTTGGAGATAATGAGCGGCATCCGCGAGGCCTTCCGCGAGAACTTGGCGGAGATAGAGTGGATGGACAAAGACACCAAGTAAACGAACAAACAAACAGAGAGAGAGAGAGACACGCGCAGGGTCGCGTGCATCCCTCCTTCGACCTCTCTCACTCTGTCTGTCTGTCTGTCTGTCTGTGGTGTGTGTGGGTATTCCCCTTGTCTGCAGACAGAAGGCTTTGGACAAGGAGAGCGAGATCACGGCCAAGGTGGGCTACCCCGACTGGCTGCTCAGCAAGGACGAGCACCTCTACTTCGCGCGATTCTACGGCAACCCACAGCCGGCCAAACTCAAAAGCCTTCTCAGCGGAACCGCCCACCTCAACAAACAATCTGTACGCACCGCACCCACCACCCACCACCCACACCCACACCCACCCTCTTGTCATCTCTCTCTCTCTCTCTGTGTGTGTGTGTGTGTGTGTGCGCGTGCCAACAGCATCGGTTCAGCTACTCGAAGCTGCACCGGCCCGAGGACCGTTCTCTGTGGGGGATGACGCCCATCGACGTCAACGCCTACTACTCGCCCGACCTCAACGAGATCGTCTTCCCCGCCTCCATTCTGCAGCCGCCTTTCCTCAACGTCGGCAACGAAAACAGCGACACAGCCAGGAGAAACGAAATCCGCGCCCTCAGGGTGGGTGGCTTCTTGGGGGAGAGACAAAGGGCTGCAAGCTGTGTGTCTGTGGTTGGTGTGAATGGTCGTGTGTGTGGTGTATTGTGTGCATGGCCAGGCTGTGAACTATGGCGCGTTGGGTGCGGTGATTGGCCACGAGCTGACCCATGCGTTTGACGACTCGGGGTCGTCTTTCGACGGGCAGGGGAAGCTCGTGTCCTGGTGGTCTCAGACGTCAAAGGTCAGTGAGTCAGAGATTTCCTTGTGTGTCATCAAGTGACTGACCCCCGAGACACCACGCCACGCCTCCGTCTCTGTGCTGTGTGTGGTAACTCTCACCGCTCAGGATAAGTTTCGGGCGTCGACCCATTGTGTGGCGTCTCAGTATGGGAGTTTCGCCATCCCCGGCGGCATCCATCTCAACGGCAACCTCACGCTCGGCGAAAACATCGCCGACAACGGCGGACTGCGACTCGCATACAGGCACGCTCACACACCGACACAGACACAGACACCCGGATGTGCACCAGGCGCGTGTGGTTTGCTGTGTGGGCTGTGGTGTGTGTGTGTGTGGTGGTGCACTGCAGAGCTTTGTTGAAGGCGGAGGGCGAGGAGGCGTTGTCGCACCGGCCCCTTCCCGGGCTGCCCTACACGGCGCAGCAGCTATTCTTCCTCTCATTCGCACAGCTATGGTGCTCAAAGCAGACACCCGAGACACTCAGAAGGTAGGTGCGTCAGCGAGTGCACTCACTCTCTGGTCAACACACACCACAGCACACCACACCACTGCGCCCCCGACACACACCATCTCTCTCCCTCTCCCTCTCCCTCTGTGTGTGTGTGTGTGTGTCTGAAACAGGCGAGTGGAGAACGACCCCCATTCGCCCGGCGAGTTCCGTGTCAAGGGCTCACTGGATAACTTTGAGCCCTTCGACGAGGCCTTCTGTCAGGCCAAGACCCACGCCATGCTCAAGGGCAAACAGCCACACAGATGCAGGGTGTGGTGAGTGAGGGGGATGGGGCGGGGTGCTGTATGCACTGAGTGAGTGAGGTGAGGCACACCTTTAGACGTCGAGGTGAGGTGACCTGGGTGTATGCGGAACACATCATGGTATGCGACAGTCAGTCAGTCAGTTTGATGTGAGGACCTCTGTGTGTGGTGTGTGGTGCGAGGTGTCTGTGTCGGGGTGGGTGCGGCGCGTATGTGTGTGTGGGTGTGGTGTGGGTGTGCATGAGGTCTCTCTCTCTCTCTCTGTATGTCTCCACCTCTGTCTCCTGCGAGGCGGCACAAACTCGATGCCCTCGTTTTTGTCATGAGCGACCGTGTGTGCGTGTTCTGCATGCCATGCAGCCATTCAGTGTGCCTGCCTGCCTGGATGAGCCCTTTTTTCACCCCTGTCGCTATGTGTCTGTGGACGGGGCGCCCCTTTCTTTGTGTAAACTACCCCACCCTATTGCCCGGAACCATGATGATGCACCGTGCTTCATACCTCTGAATACATTGCCTTCGCGCAGAACTCGATCATGGGCGGCACCTCCTTTGCCGAGTGGCTGGTCTACAGCAGACACCCTTGGCTCGTCCATCACAATTGTCCAGGCGTAAGCAACGACAGCGATGAATCGTCCTTCAAGAACGATACGTTGTCGGTCCTCATGAAGCATGACGAAGGAATGAGCAGCTAGACGCGTGCAGGTCAGCCAATCTGAGTGACTCATGAATGCTGGAGCGAGGCTGCATTCCTGGCCTCCACCAACGATGTATCACTCAGATTGGCTGACCTGCCGTCGACGCCCTCGGCAGTGTAATGGGATGGCAGCTAGCTAGACTCGGCTCGGCACTTCGCCGGCCTCACCATCAACGCAATGCCGCCGTCGAGATCCAGCCTACAGTTCTTATGCTGCACGACCACCCTCTTTGCCAGCCGATACCCCCCCTTCTTGGCATAAAAGCCTTCGTTGCGCTCTCCAAGCGTCTCGAGGTGCGCAGACACCGCATCGGCATCGGCGATATCCGAGACGAGCTGGAGCAGAGCGGAGCCGACGCCTTGTCCCTGCCTCTGTGGGTCGGCGGCCACCATGGCGACGTGAAGGTCGCCGCTCTTGCCAGACCCTGCCGCTTCAGCCTCTAGTTCGTTGTGCGCCTTGACCAGCGTCGTCTCCAATGTCCGCATGCGATCCATACAGCTGCCGAACTCCGCTCCCGTACGCTCGCTATCCGTCGAAAACGGCGGAAGCCCGGCCTTGCAAATGAGACCCAGCTCCCCACAGAACCCGAGCTCATCGACCGAGGGCGCACCCGGCGGACTCACAAGAGTGACGGCAACGACGACTCCTTCCGCCCGGTCCAGCAGCGCATAGGCACCGCCTCTCTGCAGAGCCCAGTGCATGGCCATCCTGGTGAGCCAGCGGAACCACTGCAAACGCTTCTCCGACGGCGGGCCGGGAAGGGGAGCCAACAGGGAATCACACGTTCCGCTGTATACCCAGCCGGTCGCTGGGTCCGGGTTGGTCTTCTCGCTGCCGCAAAAGGCGCGAGCCAGCGTCTCCGCGGCAGCAGCGAAGTGGGGGTGCTTGGCAGAGCACAGGCGGACAGCCGTAAAGCGTCCACATGCGGACGGACGCTCTCCGCTCTCGTCAAAAAGCGAAGCAACGGCGCGCGACGGGCCAATGGTCGGCGCCGAGGGACAGCAACTGCAGTAGGCTCCCATGGCGGGAGGGAGTTCGCGAGAAGACGACTGCTAGTACTTCTTCAGATACAGACTGCATCAGAAGGCAGACAGACAGAGAAACGAATGAGTGAATGAACGGGTTTCATCCTCCTTGATTGTTGGTGGCGGCTTTGTGGCTCACCGTCTGAAGGGCCCTGGTTTGTTGAAGTCGATAGGACGTGTCAGGAAGGGCTCACCGACACCGACCTTCGACGGCTGCACGACGCAACAGCAAGGGACACAGACACACGCAGAATGCATTTGCAGGCAGAGCAAGAGGGATGATTCATCCCTTCTTTATGTACCAGTGTGGGCGTGTGTCTTCAGAAAGTTCCTGCCTCCCTCCCCCTTCGCCCGTTTCCTCCTTTGCGAGCTTGGCATTCTAACGCCGTGAGCCAAGAGCGAAGCAACTGAGTCGCCAGCATAGAGGAGTTGTGGCAGGCCGATAGCAGCCCGGTGGAAATCGGTTTCCCACCCTTTTGTGTTCGTCTCTGCGAGAGAGCAGAGGGAGAAGAGGCAGCACCGTCCGGGTCGATGGCCTTCCGCAACATTTTTTGCGGCTGCTGCGAGCAGTCGTGGGGCGTCCACGAGGAGCCCTTCAAGGCGGCGCTGCCCACGGTGGGGCTGCACACGGACGAGTTCAATAACAATGCGCTCATGAAGAAACGCCTCATCGAGAGCCAGCAGGCCAGCCAACAGCCACATGGACAGAGCAACCTGCCGGAGGGCACCAGTGAGGCTGACACACACGCCAAACTAGAGACAGACAGACACAAATGAGGGAGCGGGCGGGGGTGTGTTAACGCTCAACACAACATCGATGTGTGTGTGTGTGTGTCGGTTGGTCAGCTTCTCACTTCAGCGAGGGTGCGCTCGGGCAGTCGGCGGTGTCCAATCGGGGTATGCTTTCGAGCCATAATGACGGTGCGCACACGCGCACTCAACCTCTGGGTGTGATCTGTTTACTATATGTGTAACTCTGTGTGTGGTCGTGTGGCTCTGTGTGTGTGTGTGTGTGTGCAGAGGGTGTTGAGTCTGAGGCCGAGGGCCGAGCCGCCAGCGCACGGTCGACCACATCAAGAGCATCATCCCTGACGCCAGAGGAGAAAGTATCGCCACCCACACAGACACGCACAAAAACATCATGTGTGTGGTCGTATTGTTGGCTTTGTTGTGTCTGTGGTGTGTTTGAGTAGGAGAGGGAGAAGGCGCGTCTGCAGAAGTTGGTCAAGGATTTCGCCAAGGAGGCCGTGGCTGGCATGAAGTGCACCCTCCTCAACCCCCACACAGGCGAGAAGACCCCCCAGCACCTCTACATGGACCGCTACCTATCGGTCCGCCTCTTCGCACACACACACGGAGAGCGTCCGCCACTCTGTGTTCCACCCACTGTGTGTGTGCAGAAGTTGAAGCTCAACCCGTCGATGGATGGCGATGAGGAGTCCGCTGTCGAGTATCTCATGAGGGACGTAAGTGCCCCCCCCCCCCCCCC